GGCGGAGGGGAGGGGGCGGCGGGTATTTTGCATACGGGGCAGCCCGTCGCCATCTTAGCGGACGTTTCCCCCACCGTCTTGACCGTTCAGACCTGCCGCGGTGTCCTTTCTGGGCGCCCGCGGCCGAGCCTGAGGAGGCAAGGCGCTGGGTACGAAGGGGACGTTAAAGGAGGGCGGGGAGACTAATGGCGGAGCGGCTGCACTTGGCCGCCTGCCAGCTCCGCCATCTTGTGCCTCGAGTGTCTTTTTCCATCTTAGCGGACGTTTCCCCCACCGTCTTGACCGTTCAGACCTGCCGCGGTGTCCTTTCTGGGCGCCCGCGGCCGAGCCTGAGGAGGCAAGGCGCTGGGTACGAAGGGGACGTTAAAGGAGGGCGGGGAGACTAATGGCGGAGCGGCTGCACTTGGCCGCCTGCCAGCTCCGCCATCTTGTGCCTCGAGTGTCTTTTTTCCCCCTCAGTCTCCCCTCTTTGGAGGCGGGACAAAAAGAATGAAGGGCGGGCGCGTTCGCCAATTGACATAGGGTTGGTGAATGGGCGGCGTCCAATGGCTAAGCTACGACGGCAGGAAAGGGTGGTTTTTTTGTTTGTTTTACTGAGTTCGTCCGTAGAGCTAAACTCTTTAGGATGAGTGAAAGTGTATTCATCAAATAATTTTTTTTTCTTTTTTCGCTTGAATTTCTCTCCCCCCCCCTTAGGCTACAGTTATTCACGAGAAATGTTTTGTTAGGTTATCGTTATCTACTGGCAGCAGAAATAACCGTCTGCGTGAATCATGTCCTTTTTCTACACTGATTTACAAAAGGATTTTTATGGAATTAATAATAAAGGAATAAGTCTGCATATATCACCTACAGCTTGAAAAAAATGATGCAAAGTATGCAAAACCTCACCATAGCTAGTGTATGGAAATAAGTTTTAAGATGTATGACAAGTAGGCAGAATACCCTTTGCATATTTAGTTACTATTGTTCACTATTATAATTTATTTCTTTTTTTCATTAATGATGGCACTTGCTGGCTTTCATTGCCTGACATAAACAGTAGTTGGCATTTTCAGCCATTTTATGTTCTGTCCTATCATATCACTTCCAGATTATAGTGACCGAATGACGGACAAAAAATCCTGTTATTACCAGGGGATGTTTTATTTTTTCATGTACAATAATTTACATTTACTCAAATACAGTCATGTCATCTTCTGGTTGCTACACAATGGTGGAGGGCATTGTTATTACCAGGATCTTGCAAACAAAAGGCTGGGGTTCCTTTAGCTAGTCTACCTATCCTATGTTAGGCTTCCCTCCTTTTTTACTGCCTTCAGCTTATATTGGCATTATTTTCCATTGAGTCTTGTCATATGACACATCTGTAGTATGATAGCCTCTGTGTGATCATTTGAACTTCTGAGAGTTCAGACTCGATGTGACACAGTGGTTAAATTGCAGTATTGCAGCCAAGACTCTGCTCATGACCTGAGTTGAATTCTGATGAATTCAGGTAGCCCTCTCAAGGCTGACCCAGCCTTCCATCGTAATGAGATTGGTAAATGGAGTAACCACTCACTGGGTGGGGGCAATGTGTAGCCTCCATAACCTGTTCACCCGAAAATAAGACCTAACCTGAAAATAAGACCTAGTCTGATTTTTCAGGATGCTCAGAATATAAGGCCTACCCCCAAAATAAGCTCCAGTTAAGTGAAACCCTGCCCTCCACCATTGTGTAGCAACCAGAAGATGACATGACTGTATTTGAGTAAATGTAAATTATTGTACATGAAAAAATAAAACATCCCCTGCAAATAAGTCCTATGGGCCTTTTTGGAGAAAAAAATAATATCAGACCATGTCTTATTTTTGGGGAAACACGGTAATTAAATTGTAAACCACCCAGAGAGTCTAAGTGGTATGAATCTGGTATATAAGCAGCACACTTTGCTTTGGATGTAATCTAGAACAGGGGTCGTCAACCCCCGGGTCTGTGGTCTGGTGCTGGTCCGTGGGCTTGCTGGAACTGGGCCGTGGATACAGATCTCCCCTCGCACGCATGCACGGCAAGCGTGTCATGCTCTAGCAGCGGGGGTGTCATACCCACGGTGGGTGTGTTACGCTCGCATGGGGCATGTCACGCTCTGCAGGGGGAGTGTTGTGCTCACACTGGGGGTGTCAAGCATGCACGCGAGCACGACACACCCTCTGTGCTCGCACGGGGGTGCCCCTGCCCTCCACGCATGGAGCTCATTCCCCCCAGCCAGTCTGCAGCCCCAAAAACGTTGGGGACCACTGAGCTAAAATGCATTTTTTGTCTTTCTACCAGTCTGTAGTATCTATAAAGTTCTCAATTTAGTATTTTTTTCCTGTCACCTTTCTTCATTCTGCAGTTTCACATCTTGTAATGTAGTAGTAGTTAGGAATACCATAGTGTGGATGATCTTGGCCTTGATCACCAGTGACTCATCCTAACACTTTGAGGATCAATCAATCAATACTATATTACGGTCAAAGACCAGTAAAACCAAATCAATATAAAATAGATACATATAATTATAGCTTGGTAAAATCAGTCAGGGTAATAAAATTCCATTAAAACATG